GCCCGGCTCATCCTGCCTTCCCACACTCACACACAACCTGACTGTGCCTAAAAAGAGCCTCCAGCCATCAAACGAGGCACAGGCTTTTCCTCCTGAGCCGTGTTTGTCACTGATAAACTCAGAGCCCTCTCCTGCGGTGCAGTGACAAACTCACAGAATTCACAGAATTCACAGAATCGCAGAATCACAAGGTTGGAAGAGACTTCCAGGATCATCGAGTCCAACCCATGCCCCAACACCTCAACTAAACCATGGCACTGAGTGTCACCTCCAGTCTTTTTTTAAGCACATCCAGGGATGGTGACTCCACCACCTCCCCGGGCAGACCATTCCAGTGCTTTATCACTCTTTCCGTGACAAACTCCAACACCCACGGGCAGTGACAGCACAAAAGAGCCTCTGGCAGCCCCTCCTACCCTCCTCCACCACGGTGAGGTGGATCTTCCTGGTGCTCTGGAAGAGGGGCCGGTGGATCTCGAACTCGAACTCGCGGGTGATGTTGCAGGTGTAGACGCCCGAGTCGTTCAGGGTCACGTTCAGCACGGTGATGGACACGTCCTGCATGTCTTTGCTCCCATTCCACTGGATCCGCCCACTGAAGCGGCTTGGAAACTCGTGGATTGATTTCCTGTGCTCGTAGATCTGTGAGGAAACGTAAAGGGATGTGCTGGTCAGTCTCTGCCTCGGACAGCACCACGACACGAGCCAGGACAGCATCCCCCTCCAGCTACACTCAGGGATGTTCTGAGCTCCCTTGGTAACAGCAGCTATTCATATTCCATCATCCTTTGCCTCAAAGTATCAGGTGACTTTACAAAAGACAGGAAAATGAGTGATCAGGAATCCAATATCTCCATCAGAGGCGGAGAAAAACTAAGGCACAGCAATACACAGATGCTCGTGGACACAAAAAAAATCAGCAATGGAACAGAAAACTGGGATTCTTCATGCCTGGCAATGCTCCTGTCAGTCAGTGCGTGTGAGATCACCTGAGGAATGAACCACAGAATATCCACAGTGGAGACAAACAGCCCTTTTCGGGAAGCCCTGGGATATTCAGCTGAGGTGGAAGTGCTGCAGGACAAATCTGGCAGTGTGACATTCTGGCTGAGCCCCCATCACGACCCTGCCTGCCCCAGCTCACTTTGGTTGGTGTTCTTTGGGTTGCCACAAATGGATCCCCCAGGGCACTGGAAATGAATTCCCATCTCATTCCTTAGCCTGGTCCCTTTAGTTCTCAGACAGAAGGAGAATATTTGTCATCCTGCCTGGCCCTGCTCAACCACAGCCACTGATTTAATGCTTCAGATTCAGATAAAATAGCTAGAAAGAAATGTGCACTCAGTCTTTATCTTGTTCTCCATTTCACCATTCTCTCTTGAATTCCATCTGCCTCTCATCTGTCCAATTTCCATTTTGATTCACTCTGAAAATCAATTTTACCTTTTCTTTACAGGGATCCAAAGCAACTCTCAGAGATCCTCCCACAGTCGGGATAACATGGCTTTCTCTGAGGCAAAAAGAAGTAAATCCTGCCCTGCAGATTTATTGGAGACCAATTTCACCTCTGAAAGAACAGCTTTGGGATTCAGAACTGATTCAGACCAGGGCACCACGTGTCAGTCGTATTTGACATCCTTAGATACTGGGCTTGAGGGAATGGGACTGGAAATTGGCATTGATTCATCTACAACCCAAATGTCTGATCCCAGCTTTTCCTGACAGGAGTTCGTGCTGTGCCAGGTGTGGAAATGGGATAAGCAAGGGAAGAAATGGAAAGGACTCAGGTCCCAGACATACATACAGGCTCATCCTTTCCCCCCTCGGGCTTGTAGAACCATTCCACCACCGTGGTGGCCGTCACCTCCTCCCTCTTCATGCAGGAGATGCAGAGCAGCTTCATGTCCGTCCCTTGGACAGCCTCTGTCTCAGATGGGACTTCCACACACACGGAGGAACAAAGTCCAGCTGGGGGAGAGGAGCAGCAGAGAAAGAAGCATTAAGACAGAATTAGAGAAAAATCAGTTATACATATCTTGGCATTAATGTCCCCAATGGAAAATGGTTTGATTTATTACTAGCGCTGTCTGATAACAGATTAAGTGTCAAATGTCGAATTTTACCAAGCTTCCTTCTCCTGAGATATTAATAATTCATAATAATTAACAGGGTGATCACTTCACACAGATTCACCTCTCCAGCATCTGCTTTGCCACAGCTTTCGTCTTTTCCTGGTAATTAATGCCACTTTAAAGGCATTGTTCATTCCCTCCCATGCGTGCTGGGTATGCTCCTGTTAGAGCAGCAATTAGTCTGGGATGAGGGGAAGCCCAGAATTCCAGAGTGGAGGAACAGCTCGCTCTTTGTGCTAAGTTGGAAGATCTGGATGCTTTAATTCAGCAAAACTGGGAGGGTCCAGCGCCCTTCCTGTCCCTGGGCTCTGTGGGCACTGCTGGGAGCCAAGGGGCTTGGACAGGAATGAATTTGGCAGCAGGAGGAGTTATTGATTTCCCAGAAATTCCTGCTCAAAACGCTTCCAATCAGAGCTGTGCTAAGGCTGGCAACTCTCAAATACTGCTCTTGCAAAGAGGGCAGAAATGGTTGCATGTGAAGCCACATGCTCGAGCAGAAAGGGATCGTTTCAGCACGACATCTCCGACCAAATCCCTGCTGACATTTGTCCCCTGGGCTAAACAATCCCGGGCTCTGTCTGTGCGAGGCTGTCTCCAGAGCCCAGACGCTGACTTTGCTGGCTGCTCCCTCCTCCCCAGCCTCTGAGGCACCATTAACCCACTCTCTCAAGCAACATTTTATGCCGGGACTGTTCCTGGAAGCAGCCTGGCTCCAATTCTCCCGTACTACCAGCTCCATGGACAGCAGCAGCTTTCAGGGAGAAATAAGGAAAAGCTGCTGGATCCTGCTTTGCTCTGAGATCTGTACACACGGACAGGCACCCGCACACAGGGCTGAAGGCACACGCACATCAGATGTGGCAAAACCACCCAACCTCTTCTCGTGGCAGGAATCAAACTGCAGTTGCAATCGATTGATTAACTCCAGTTTACGCAGACTGCACGGAAAACCGGCACTAAAACACCGCTTAATGGGCTGCACACCCTCCCCGAGGCAACTCGATGTTAAATTACACTGCAAACCCCAGACCAACAGCAAACAGTAAGGGACCAGCACATGCTTTGTGCTGAGCACTGAGGTGTTTCCTCCGCTCGCATTCACTCCCTCACACTCACACCAACTCCGCATGAGCGTAATTCCCTTCTCCCGACAACAAAAAAAAGCCCATTCGGAGGGCAGGCGCGAAGGGAGCATCCTCCCTTATTCCCGGCAGCATCCTGCCAGCGGCAAGTCCCGGAGGGTGGGAGAGGGGATGGCAGCACCTACCCCAGAGCAGCAGGGCGAGCGCGGACGCGCAGAGCAGCCGCGGCAGCGCAGCCATTGTTCCGAGCCGGGCCGGCGCTCGGGATCCTCGGCAGGATGCTGGGATGCTCGGATGCTCGGATGCTGGGATGCTCGGATGTTGAGATGCTCGGATGCTCTTCCCCCTCTCGCCGCGCTCCCGGCGCAACAGGATGCCGGGCGAGCAGCGGCCGGGGCGGGCGCGGTCCGGGGGCTGCGCTCGGCCGCGGGGGCGGCAGCACCACGGACAGAGCCCGAGCCCGGACACAGCCCCAGCCCGGACACAGCCCGAGCCCGGACACAGCCCCAGCCCGCTCAGAGCCCCAGCCCGGACAGCTCCGCCGCCTCCGCCGGCTCCGGGGCTCCGCGGGCGCGGCCGGCGCTGCGCAGGGCGCGGGCGGAGCGGAGCGGGAGCAGCGCTGGATCAGCTGGATCAGCTGGATCAGCAGCAGCAGCAGCAGCAGCAGCAGCAGCAGCAGCAGCAGCAGGTGCCCCGCGCCGGGAGCGGCTCCGCGGGGCGCGGCCGCGGCGCTTTTGTTGCGCGGGCTGCGGAGCGCAGAGCCCGGCAGGGAGGATGCTGGGGAGGATGGCGGGGATGATGCCGGGGATGATGCCGGGGAGGGTGCCGAGGATGCTGGAGGAGCCCGGGCGGGGGGCACGGCCGGCACATGCGCGGCCGCCTCCCCCGGCCCCGGGCGCGCCGGGCTCCTCCCGGCTCAGCGCAAGCAGCCTGGGGCTCCGGTGGTCCCGCGGGCAGCGCCCAGCTTGGCTGGAGACATCACACAGAGGATATCACATAAGCAGGGAGTGTTAAGGCGTTGGAATGGACCTTAAAGCTCAGCCAGTCCCACCCCCTGCCATGTGCGGGGACAACTCCCACCAAGCCACATCCAACCTTTGAGCATATCCAGGACAGCCAAAGCCTCCCTGGAAGCGCTGTCGCCGCCCTCACAGCAAAGCATTCCTTCCCAAAATTTGAATTCCCCCTCTTTCCATTTGTACCCCTCACTCCTCGTCCTGTCTCTAAAGATCAACACCACAGATCAGCATCACTGTCCTGCCTCCAAAAAAAGCCAAGGGGCGGGGGGGAGATGGGGGGAGTTATCCCTGCAGGGTCACAGAAAGGCCTCTGCTGCTAATAAGTTTAATGCTAACATTTGCACGGCTCTGAAGGTCACAGTTGGAAATACTGGGAAATCCTCTTGCCTCATGTTCCTGCCTGATTCCAGGGAATTTAATGCCAGCAGCAGGCTGGGCTTTCTCTCCTTGGACAGGGGCCACCATGCCCTGGAGGGCTCCTCCAGCTTTGAAGGTCACAGTGGACAGAGAGGGGGAAATGAAGCGTTTGTTACAGGTGCTCCTTTTAAAGCACCTGCAGCTCCACACACAGCACAACCTATTGGGTTAAACCTGACCAGCCCCACCAGAGAATCACACAGGAGTGACTGGCAGTGCCAAAACTCAGCGTGCAGGTGGCCAGACCCACCCAGAGATGTTTGCAGCCAGCAGAAAAATCAGCTTCAGCAGTACTCGGGCTCTCAGCTGGGCACACACCGCTGGTGGTGGCCACTGCCACAGCTCTGTGGCCTCCCAGGGGTGGGCACAGGGGCACACACGTGAGATCAGGTCCCTGCACTGCTGGAGTGAAGCAGGCACAGAACAAAGCCAACACTTTTCCTAGACATCACCTAATTGTGTTTGTGTCAGCAGGCTGCATCCATCATCTGCCAGCGGCCACACGCAGCAGCTGCCTGCACATCACCCTGCTCCAGTGACTGCTCCAAGTCATTCCCAGCTAAGGCATCCTCCTGGTGCCTCCTCCTGCCTCACTGTGCTGGCTGCTCTGCCCTGCTGCAGCCCACAGATGACTGGCAATCCCAAAACCTTTGCAGCCTGAAGTGTTCCAGCAGGGACTGGCCAAAGCCACGTGCTGGCTGTCAGGTTGTCCTCTCTGTCCCCTCTGCTCCCAGGCTTCTCAGGGCTCCTGTGCACTCTTCCAGCAACACACCAAAAGAAAATAAACCTATTTAATGTACCTGCAGGAGCCAGGTGTGAGCAGGGAGACCAACAGCTTGCAGGATGCTGATGCCAGCACCGCAATTCCAATTCCCCCCTTAGAAGTCATCCATCATGGATATAGAAATCTTGAAATCTGATTTTCTCCCTGGGAAGACAGAACAGCAAACATGATACCCAGAGCTGCATGAAGGACACTGAGCCATTTCTTTTGTCCCATTGCCCCTTGTTATCATCACAGCAGCACAAAGGGAAGGGCAGGTTAAGCCACAAGGATTTGCTCCCGACCCTTCTGGAACAATCCATCCCATGCACGGCAGACGAGTGCTGGGGTGAGTTTTTTATAGCCACAGGAGCTGCTGTACAACATCCCTGGCTCTTTGACAACCACCTGTTCCACAAAGCACCATGGAAATCAGAGCTATTCCCAGGCAGCCAGGTGCCCTGCCAGAACACGGAGCAGGGATCAGCAGGGCTGCACTGTTTGTGCTGCTGCTGCTCTAATTACATCTATTACAGACAATCCTGCCAGGGATGAGACTCAGGGGCCAACAGGATTAAGAGGAAGCAGCAGCTCCACCACACTGACTCAGTCTGAGCCACTGAGTGACCCCCAGCTCCTGCTGCTCCCCAGGCAGAAGCAGAAACCTTTTCTCCTCTAACCCCAGGCACCCCAGAACCTGCCTGCCCAACAATTCAAATTACTGTGGCAAACAAACATCCTGAAAAAGTAATGAGTTTTCCCTCAGAATTACTCATGTACCAACCTCAATTACTTCATTCCAGACCAGGGTTGTAGCTGCTATTTAAAGAAGGGAAATGGGGCCCTGAGGTGAAGGAAACCTCTGGTGAAACTGAGTGGATTTTGAAACGAAAATTTACAGGTAAGGGAGGGCACACCCTCTTCCCCAGCTCTGGGTAAATTTATTCTTCACCTGTGATTCTTCACCTCGAGCCTGCCTCGTGTACCACAGACATGATCCAAGGTGATTGGGAATAAATACCTCTAGTCCATTCCAGTTTCTTAACCTGCCACAAGCTGTGTTGAGTTTTGTTTTCAAAGCAAACTACTCTGGGCTCACTCAGACTGAATGAAAAGATAAGATCGTTTCACTCTTGCTACAAATCTGGGCTTAGCTGGGAACCACTCCAATGTCACCCCGTGCCTGCTCAGGACAAGCAACAAACACCTCCCTGCCCTCTTCAGGAATATTTGCAAATAACCGAGATGTCACACTGGGAACCTGTTCCAATTTTGAGCCCTGCACAAGGGATGGAGAGCAGGGATTCTCCCATCCCCATCCCACACCAGGGTGATGCACAGGCTGCTCCTCCCTGCCCTGACCCAGCCCTGCAGGGAGCTGGCTGCAGGCCAGGGTGGCCTTTAGGGCACTGGCACTGCAGGGGAAATGGGGAAGGGGATGCAATGCTGAGAGAGAGAGAGAGAAATCTTGACTGTCGAGGGAGGAATCTCTGCAAGAAGCAGCCCAACTTATCATGCGGGGGTTGCTATGGCAACCCACCCAGTTAATGCTTCACAGGAGGAAAAAAAAAAGGAGAAAAAAAAAAAGGCTGAAAAGGCTGGCACTTGTGCATAGGCACAACAAGACGAGGAGATAAAAATAATTTCAGCACCCTGCCCCCACTAATCCCTCACTGTCATGGTCCCTGGGGCTGGGACAGGGCAGTGGGGACAGAGCCCTGCGTGTCTGGGCTCCCTGGCACGGCACCTTCCTCTGCCATCCCCATCACATCAGCCCGGCCCCTCCTGGCTGCCGGGGGCCAGAGCAGAGCCACTGCCACCACCAGCTGCTCCCAGACCGCCAGCCCAGCCCTCGGGGCTGTGACAGCCAGCCCTGCAACCCCCCAGCCCCAAAAGTGAGAGACCCCTTTGTGCTCCTCACCCTGCTCTGCTCCCCACGAGCAGCCTCCAGCCAGGATGGAACGAGCAGGGCTTTGCAGAGGAGCCCTGCAGGATAGAGAATGCCAATTTAGAGATGTTGGATTTAATAGATGTAGGCACCCTTCCCACTCACTCCAACATCCATGTGACAATTCCGTGGCAAGGGAGGGCTGCTCTGGTTGCTTTCACGCGGTGCCTGGGGGGTTAGAAAGGCTCATTCAGTTTTCTCTTTTCACACTCGAGGTTTAAAATGAGTTCTCCATGTACCTGCCAGCACCTGGATACTCTGAATGGTCTAAACTGGAGGCAACTCCAGCTTTGCTCTTCACACAGCTTTGCACCTTCCTTTCCAGCTGCTGCACAGAGCTGGTGCTGGGGATTGGATCTGCAGTTCCCAGCCCCTTCCCACCCAATATTCCAGAGGGTAGAATCTCATTAAAGCCTTAAGATGCAGGTCCCCAGAGTGCCTCTGCTGCCCAATGTGCTCTCCTCATACAAAAATCTCTCCTGCATTTGTGTTGTACCTTCCTTTTTTTCCCCAGTCTACATCCCCATGGAGTGTAAATGTGAATATCCCCACGACTCCCCAAAAGCTCTGCTCCATCCTGAGCAGCCTCGGTGATTTCTGTCACACACAGCCTACAGGACCTCTCTCTGTTAGACAGAGATGGAGCTTGTTCTTGATTCACTGCTGTCCCTTCCTGCCTCCCCCGAGGGCCCACAAGTCACAGTTCCTTTGCCATTCTCCTCTCCCAGACAAAACCCAGGCGTGTCCATCCTCCTCTATTTACCCTTGGCTCTGAGCCTTGTTTTTCCATCAGGACTGAGAACCAGAGGGGCTGGATTTCAGTGAGCCCTCCCCTCTGTGAGCAAGAAGTGGCTGTGAGCAGCCTGCCCTGTGTGTGAGCATTCCCAGAGCATTCATTCCCTGCCTTCCAGAGCAGCCTGCCCTGTGTGTGAGCATTCCCAGAGCATTCATTCCCTGCCTTCCAGAGCCAGGGAAATGCTTCCTCACATCAGGAGCAGCCTCACATCAGGCAGAGCCTGCGCATGCACAGAACCATGGCAGGGTCAGGGATTCCTTGGAGCAGCAGCCACGCTGAAGGCTGGGCTGAAATTTCCCCC